AGTGGCTAGTGTCCCCGGACCCCAGGTTAGTGGTTGGCGTCCCCAGGTAGTGGTTAGTGTCCCCAGGTTCCAGGGCCTGGTGTGGGACTGTCTGCCCTGGAGTGGGGCTATCCGGCTATCTGCCCTGGAGTGGGACTTTCTGCCCTGGAGTGGGGCTATCTGCCCTGGAGTGGGGCTATCTGCCCTGGACTCCTGGAGTGGGGCGATCTGCCCTGGAGTGGGGCTAGCTGCCCTGGAGTGGGGCTATCTGCCCTGGAATGGGGCTATCTGCCCTGGAGTGGGACTATCTGCCCTGGAGTGGGACTTTCTGCCCTGGAGTGGGCTATCTGCCCTGGAGTGGTGCTCTCCGCCCCAGTGTGGTCTCTACTTTGGTGGCCCCGTTCTGCAGCCCTTCAGCCATTGAGAATTCTTGAGTTTTTTTTTTTTCAAGACACCCAATCTTGTTAATGAAAACATAATTCGGGCAAGTTCCTTCAACTGTTCTGACATGGGGCCGCATTGAACCAGTCTTCAGAGGCTCCCATAAATTCCAATTAAAGAAAGAAAGATATTCATGGTCAAAATGCTGTGGACCCCTACGGGGTTAGCCCCCTCACAGTGCGAGATCTGCTGGGCGGAGGAAACTTCACACAGAACACCCAGTTTGCCATTGTAAAAGCTACGGTTGAATACATCAAGAGTACTGGACACCTGAATAATCTCTGAAAGCTGATCAACTTACACACAGATCAAGACTGCCTGGAACAATATACTTCAAATTAAGTAACCAATTGAAATTCATTTGATAAATCCAGGTGCAACAAGTGCCCTGTTGAGGGACATTTATGCAACCTCAAAACGGACTACATACATACATAGGTACATATTCATGGTCATAGAGTGTCATTCTAAACTCTAAAGACTTAAGTGAGATTATTATTGAGATAAATGTAACTGAATCTGGGTTAATCTGGGATTTTGGGTCGCGAAAACCATAAGCCATTGTAGCATTCATAGGATCTTAGAATTCTTGGTGATGATTGTACCATCAAACAGGGTAATAACTAATAGGAGATGGGTAGGGTCTAGGCCTAGGGTAGCTGACAGGGGACAGTGTCAGTGACAGTCATCCCACATTTCAACGCATTTACATTTTACAGTAGAACCTCAATTAGCAAAGGCTCCAGCCTCCAGTTAACAAAAAAATCAATCAACAACAAAAATTTTTATTATAGCCTATTTATCTTGCTCAGCAAAAAATTTCCCTTAGTGAAAAATTAATGCATCATCCGTCATCACAAAATTGTGCAGAGAATGTCATAGGTAGATACAATTGTGCACCAGGCAACTTAATATGAAATGTAATTAAACTAAACTATAATTTATTTCCCTAAAAAATATGATGGTTGTAACTAGAATATTCCTTTCTGTTTGATATGTTTTTGCAATCTTTTTTTTGTTATAGCCTAGTGAATTCACTTGACCCAATTAAATGGTGTGAAATTACAAGCCGTCCTGTGATTTTACAGATGTAGAAAAGTGCTATACGGCAGCTGCTATGAAGCTTGCAGTGGTCAAGGTGTCAAGGTCATTGTAAATGCTCAATGGCATGTTCATGGATACAGTAATATCACATGAATACAAACTACGGTAATGTATGGATATGGTCACATCATATCAATAAAGGAAAAACTAGTAAAAATCACAGAAAATGTCATTTATTCTACATCTCCATGATATACAAAGAAAAAGGAGGAGTTCAGATTACTGTTAGTAATAGATGAGGACACTCTGCATGCTTCAAACATTTAAAATTAAGTTTTATTTCTAGTGTCCCAGATTACCCCATTCCCAGGGGTAATTTGGGACAATTTTATTTTGCATCTGGCACCTAACTAATAGCATAGCATATGGAATTTTTTGAATAGGTCATACAATAGCCCTCACAAAGAGCTAGAAAATGGGCATAAACTTGTTTATGAAATGTTTCATGGTAGCCACTGTGCAGAGAGTGGATGAATATTGCAAGATCTTTGGTGACGCTTCTGTAGCAAAATTTACGCCTTCAGAAGATCTTGCCGACACATTTAGATTGAAATTCTTGCATTTAATATATTTGTCAGTCTTTGGCCAACTATTTAAACAGTTACTGGATTCTTTATAAGTGTTGTCTTTAAAAAATAATTTTTAAATGTATATTATTTCTGATTTGTCTGTTGAAAAATTGGAAAAAGGCCAAAGAAATGGGGGAAATTGGCTAGAGTTATAGATGTTTTTGTCCAATTCATTGTTTGGCTTCTGCTTCAATTTTGACTTGGGTCACAAGCATTTTGGCAATGCATATACTTTTTAGAATCAGTTCATTCTTTATTTCCTTTTCTACCAATGATTTAGAACACCATCTTCTTGAATGATAATACTGGTGCCCATGATATTTACTGGTCGTACTACTAGGACTCAAGAATAAACTACAGGAAGGTAGCAAAAAACTTTCTTCTATGCTACTATGCCCTGGAATGGAATGAAATATATCTATTCTAACTAGAGCTTTCTCACCATTTTCATAGCTGCTAAATTCCTGCTGAATGAATTACCTTGTATCTAATTGTTAAGAAAAGTGCATGAGTGGGTAGCATAATTCAGTATTTGGGAAAAAAATGTCGCATTAGAACCACAAGGTTTTAAAGTGTCTCACGTTCACTTTGAGGAAAATAAAGACGCTTTTTTTGGTCTCTGTATAGAACCCTGTATAAATAACAGATTGTTGCAAGCCACACAAATATTAATACATGGAAAACTACTATATTGTAAACAGTATAAATCAATTCGTGTATTAAACAAAGTAATTAGTACAGGATGACCATTTCTACGCGTAAGTACTTACTCTAATAAGAGGTTCTGGTGGAATGACTCAAAATACTAAAAGTTGGTAGCAAGTTAACTATTGTTGTGTTCATTGTGGTGATGTTCAAATATAAACAAAATCTTATTTTTACAATTAAATCTAATTCTTAATTTCTAACTATTTTATTACATAAATTCAAAATCATGAACAAAACCACAACAATTTCAGTCAGTAATGTGTCAAAATCTATGCTCACAAGGCACAGCCCAAACTGGACAAATGAATAAGGCATAAATGCCTGTGAATGAGAATGCATTAGCTAAATTTCACCTCTTCTAATCATGTAAAGGCCTTTGTATAATTTCTTCTGTAAAAACTAAGAAAACTGGATATAATTTTGTGCATAATTTTAACAAATTAACTGTCAAATGATCATTTTCACCCACAATTTATCACATTGTTGCCGGGTGGATGTTTCACGTTGCGGGTGAGGTAACCGTGTTACCTACTTTGACTTTGGTTTGGCAACAACCCTTCTATCTAGTATGTTAAAGGTCTGGTGTCTTATCTCTTAAATTGAAGTAAAAATACAGTGACAATGTAATGAGTGAAGAAGTTTAACTGCATTTCAGGAGTTATGATTTGGGATTGGGGAAGGGAGCATGGACAGGGTTACATGTATTCCATCATTGATGAACTGAAAAATAAAGAATACAAAAGTCAATAACCTGTCCACTAAATAACAATGCTAAACCTGAAGGGAAATTGAATGTTACAACTGATGCAATAAATATTTAAAATAGATTCTTGATTGATAGCAAGCTGGTTGCGTGCAGCAAGCAAGAAATATGAAAAACAAAACGGACAAACATAATATTGGGAGTGAAATCAGTAAAACATTTGCAAAGATTAGCTAAAACTAGAACCAAGAAAAACCATTCAAGTAATTGGTAAAAGTTATGAAGTTTTCAAGATAAACACACAAAATCAAAGCATTCAAGAATAAATTGCAAGCAAATGACAGTTTAAATATGAATTGCAATAAACATTAGATGATAAGTGAAGCACTAACAAAGTTAATTAATCAGATTCGCAGGTAGCAAAATTATGGGACACTCACAAAACATCTTTGCAATTAAAGGGATCACACCTAATTCAACTCAAAGGCTGAAAAGAACAAAAAGAAAACATACATTCAACAATAATTAATAAGTAAACATTAATTCAAAAATGATTCATATATAGAGAGCAGATGGTTGGGTAAAAAATATGGGTAGATGCCTCCTGGCAACAACATTTTATTAATATGCATCATTTTTTTGTTGCAAATTTACCAATTCTGCTATTACCTTTTTTGTAAATTTGTGTTGAGATACATTGTCAAAATTCTTGTCCGCACGATCTATGTTAACTCTAATAGTATAAGATCTCATCCGATGTTCCTCATTGAACTCTAAAACACTAGTCTGCAGCAGCTATTAGTCACTAGCTACTTTGAACTCCTAGAGCAATTGATTTTTATTTGAACCAAACTGGTTCAGTTTGCCAAGACTGGGAGGCTTGAAGGTTTTTAATTTAACTGAAATGTTGCATTTTTTTTCAATTTTAATTTTGGATGGTTTACCAGGCCTCATGACAGTACAGGAAGTTGATTTTATCAAACTTGATATTGGAAAATGCTCTGTAACATTGGAAATAATTTAACATTTGCCCCAAGTTTCAATAGTTGAAATGAATTTTGCAGTCAAACTTGCTGATTGAAAAATATCTGGATCATCTCCCTGTTTCTGAGGTGGTCTAATATATGTATAAATGGTTATAATCTTGCTGATATATCATGCTTTGTGTGTACCAATAGCCCTGGAAGCATTCAATTATATTGGCTCATTAAAAAAAAATAATTAAGATAAAATTCTTGAATGGAAGTTTCTCTGATATGAGAAATGTCCTGTAGTTGTCTATGAGAACTGTTACATTAATTCCTAAAATGCCCTTTTTGATAATTGTTATTTTTCAAATAGGTAGTTAATTGAAGTATTTAAATTAAATGTTGATTTTTATGATATAACTTAGCATAAAATTCTAATTTAAGATTGTTTAATTCCAGTTTTCTTATGCAATTTATTTGTCCAGGTAGCCTTCTTGCTCCTCCTATGACAACAACAAGCAACATGCAAGCTCGTCTACAGGAGAAGACAGGCCAAGAAAACACTGATTTCTAGGTAAGCCATATTTGTTCAGGGTACATATTCTATATAAGTAAAATTTGTAACAAATTATGTAACAAGAGACACGTAACTATGTTTTGTTACCAGTTATATGCAATGTGGACAATTGACAGTTGGGTATCTTGATATTTCTGCCATCTGTGACTAAAGACCTCAGGGATGTTTATTGAGGTTTTTAAATTAATTAATTGAATTAATTGAATGAATTGAGTGTTTTGCTGCAATTCTACACACATACACATATGATTTGCGTAGCTAAGAGGACAGCTCTGTAACTTCTGTATCCTCCACTAATTTTTTCCTCTATTCGTCGGAAAGTATCTGAAATTATGGGACAGGTAGAGAAGCTTGGCCATTATGTAACAAGAGACACGTAACTATGTTTTGTTACCAGTTATATGCAATGTGGACAATTGACAGTTGGGTATCTTGATATTTCTGCCATCTGTGACTAAAGACCTCAGGGATGTTCATTGAGGTTTTTGAATTAATTAATTGAATTAATTGAATGAATTGAGTGTTTTGCTGCAATTCTACACACATACACATATGATTTGCGTAGCTAAGAGGACAGCTCTCTAACTTCTGTATCCTCCACTCATTCTACTCATTTGTATGTACTTTAGTACTCCTTTAGTAGTAGTAGTATCATTTTTTCCCTCTATTTGTCGGAAAGTATCTGGAATTATGGGACAGGTAGAGAAGCTTGGCCTTGAGGTTATTTAAAAAATTATTGCTAGATAGTTTTGAATGATGGTTCTGCTGAAAGCCTGTTGAAAATTTCTGCTCTAGTTGATAAGCCTATAACATTGAGTATCAAAGTGCATATTTTTGTTCAATGGATTGCTTTACAATCTTGACAATGATTTTCAGCACATATACAATATTTAATCTTCATACATAGTACAATATACAGTAGTATTCATCATAAACACATGGGACATTATTTTCTCTGTTGCTGCTATGGACTACAAAGACTAAGAGTGCAGGTTCTGAAAGGCACAAGTTTCTACATAAATTAATATACTTGCCCTCTATTGACCAGCATAGTTTATTGTGTGGCTGATTGACCCCGGGGCTACAATATAATGCATTTTAAGTATCACATATGGTGAAGTAAAAGTACTTCATATCAGGTATATATGCTGAACAATGATGATTATTTATCCATATTTTCAGTGGTAGCTTATATTTAATTATTCACTGTTACAATTGATCAGACTTCAATACCATTGATACCATTCAGACTTCATTGAATGATGTATCATGTTTGTAAATAATTCTAGTTAGGATTAAAATAATTTATTTTATCCACCTTTGTCATCTCTAATTCTACTGAAAATCCATGGAAATCGACAACAAAACTATTTGTTTTTAGGTATTTTCATATTTGACTTTGTCAATTTACAATATGAAATTGATAAACATTTTTTAGTGTAAAAATTGAGTATTTATAGTACAGGAAGCCTAAAGGTCAATAATTTTAATCTCAGTGGAAATTTTAAGTTTTCTAACATGGTAACAGTATTATTTTTTAGGTGTATTACCTACATCACAAAGCAGCAATACTTCGGTATTTCATCACTGCATTGTAAATATATACATGTACCTATAGTACCTGGGGCCATACTTTCAAAACTCGCTACGTGAACGTAAGTTCTTACGCTCTATTTTCTTGTCTATGATTAAGTAAACGTAAGTACTTACGCGCTATTTTCTTGTCTATGATTAAGTGAACGTAAGTACTTACGCACTATTATTTCTTGTCTATGATTAAGTGAACGTAAGTACTTACGCTCTATTTTCTTGTCTATGATTGGTAGATTTTGCTTGAAAGGCCGTCAATGATTGGCTGATGAATGATCTCTTAACTTTTTTTGAAAGTATAGGCCCTGGCATATTGCCACTTGGTGAAGTCTACACTCAAATAAATCAGTAAGACTTTGTCCAAATAGTAGTGCATTTTTTCTCTTGTATGGTTCATTCTTATAGAAGTTGACCAGGCACCAGGGCATATGAGTGTTCCATGCAGAAAGTGTGTTAGTACTATTTAGAAAAAATAAATAATAATTTATTTATTCTATCTAAAAATAATTTCCATCAATAATATTTCCATAATTTTTTTAGAGTGTAATAAATGCTATTGTTTTTCAGATGATCTAATTCTGCCGCCATGTGTGATGGAGACCCCAAGCTCCAACGTCCCCCAAGTGTTGTTTTGCGAAGACTGACACCGGAAGACATGGAGTCCATTGGTTGTGGGCTGGAGCCGCCAACTGCAATGAGGAAAAGGAGAACTTTAGGAGATGAAAACTCATACTTAGGTGGCTCTTCTCCTAGAAAATGTGCACGCCTTGACACACAGGAGACCCAAGTTGTCACCACAGCCGCTACTTTGAAGTCTGTGGTGAATAAAGTTTCAAAAACTGGACCTAAATGCATTAAAACTGGTCTCTTAAAAACCGTTTCTTCAGCCAAGAAAAGTTCTTCCATATTTCCTGGGAGCCCAGGAAGCAGTGGCTTGTCCAACAAAGAAAACCACCCTGTTATTCCTCAGGAATATTCAGTTCCTTTGCATGCATCTACAGGAATAAATACTACTTGTATGAAGACCAATGTGGAGGCAAGGACATCAGAGAATCTCACTCCCGAAAGCGTTGGTGAATCACCTGTTGTGACGGTCAAAAAAGAGCCTATTGATGCGGCCGACATGTTACCAGTGCCTCTGTGTGCCATAAAACAGGAGACTGTGAGTTCAGATCCTGAGTTACTGGAGTGTCGTCTTGCTCGTGTCAAACTTGATATCAAAGAAGAGGTGAGCGAAGTGGATGTTGCAGATGAACATTTCTTTGCTGATGCTTTAGAGCAAGGCTTTTGTTTGAATATTACGACCAAGCAGGAAGGTGTTGACTATAGCTGGCTCTTCGAAGAAAATGTTAAAGAAAGCTTCCTCGGATTTGAGCCTTCAGAATTTAGTGAATTTATCGCACCACAAATAGATGAGAATGACTGCCCTGACGCTGATCATGAAAATCAGAAGAACAAGACCAGGCGGACCATCAAACCGAAGTTATGTAGCGGAGACTTCATAAGTCCAGCTGACAAAACCATCAAGAGCATGGTTTCCAGAACGCAGATGTCAAGCAAACATTGTAGGGAACCTCATGAAGTTGTTAGTTCTTTTCGTATCAAGAACCTCAAGAAGACGATTCTTGAACTAAACGTGACACCTTCCATGCCATCTCTCACACTTTTCCTCTCTAAACTAAAGGAAAAATCTGAGAGTCTTTCGTTCCTACAAAACAATTTTGCTCTCATAAAGAAAATTGTTCGCACTCTCAACAAGGACTGTAGTGGAGGTGTCTTTAACCCTCTATTGGACAAGCTTATAAGTCGGTCATTGGAGCTCCACGACGTCGCTTCCAGGAGTGGGGGCCTGAGTCCGGCAGTTATAAGAGACCTTCAGCAGCGGTGCTCTCAGGCTGGTCTTGGTATGGGGGGACCTCTGGAGGAGTTGGCGCTTAACATCTTTAACTTGTGTATTGGAGCCGCCACTCCCGCGAGTGGTAATGGGGAGTATCAGGACTCAAACGATAAACTTTTTGATATTATTGGTGAACCTCTCAACAGCTTTGGAACAATTACAAACCAGAATAACCATGCTCCGGAGTATACCTGGAGTTCAAAAATCAAGACGACACACTCTGGAAAACGAACTTTTTCCACGGCTTTCTCAAGACAGGAACGAAATAATACCAATTTTGAACGACGTCCACACCTTTATACCTCTTCATGCTCGTTTCCACTTCGTAAAAGTGTTGAAATTTTCTATGTGTCCTCAGGTTTGAAGAGTCACTCCCTCAACCCTCGTCTCTATACTGCGATGGTACGGAATATTTCTCAGAAAGATCCTCCGCCTCCAGAGGTTGGGGAGTTGCAAAAACTGCGAGGTGTCATTGTGGTCGCGGAAGACATTAAAACCTCTCAGCAAACGAACAAACAAGTTGTTAACGAAGTGATTGATCATGAAGGTATAATATCAAACTCAAAGGAGTCGGCAAAAGATATTAATTATAATAGCAAGGGAACCGTTGTAGCTCAGTCACCCGAGTCAAAAGAATTGGTTGCAAGAGAGTGCGACTCGTCACAAGTTGTTGCCGAAGATCAGGAATCTACAAATGAATTCGCAACTCAATCTGGAACAGCAGAAAGTATTGAAAACTCAGAACCTGACATGACTACAGTTGTTGGCAAAGAATCCGACTTGACTGAAACGGTTGAGAACGAACCCAACTTGGCTGAAGTTGTTGAGAGAGAATGCGCGCCATATGAAGCGGTTAACAGCAGGCCTGAATCACCTGAATCTGAAGACATTGGACTCGATAGAAATATTGTCTCAGGACATAAGTCAGCTGATGTTATTCTCAAAGGACCAGATTTGGTAAAAGTTGTTGCTGAATTACCAAATTCTTCAGAAGTTACGGGCAAAACACCAGAGTCAGCTGAGATCAGTTGCAACATACCGGAACCAGCCGAATATATTTCTAATGGTCACGATTTAGTGCAAGATGGAAACAATCTGAAGAAATCTAAAGGATTACGGGACTTTAGAATTGTAAATGCCGGTAAATCCACTGCAGGTGCCAATAGAACCTCAACAAATGCCTCATCAGAGAGACCCTATGCCTCTGCCAAGGTGTCTGCCTCGTCTGTGTCCAGTCCAGATGTGCCCAGTACAAGCTTTAGTTCCAGGTCATCTAGGGACAAAATTGTTCCCTGTTCCACCAAGAGAAATCCTGATTCTTCCTCAAGTAAAAAGAACATTGATTCCAGTTCCACAGAAACATCCTCATCTATTCCTGGTGGCAGACTGGAAACACAAACTGTACTATCTACTGGAACAATGGCTCAAACATTAGAAAATTCTACAAATGGTGGCTCTCGAGAAAAAGAATTTTCGCCTGCGAAGAAAAATCTTTCGAGCTTGAAAAACTTCAGAAAAGTTAAGGGTGGGCTTGCTGGTATAAGGTTAGATAAAACTGTGACGCCTGGCGCAAATTTTGATGATTTTGACATTGATGGATACTCCCATGAAACTGTGTGTAGAGAAGGAAATTTTTATGATATGGACAGAAACTCGACTGAGACTGTGTATAGAGAAGGAAATTTTGATGATATGGAAGGAAACTCGACTGAAAATGTGTATAGCGAAGGAAATTTTGATGATGTGGACAGAAACTCGACTGAAACTGTGTGTAGAGAAGGAAATTTTGATGATATGGACAGAAACTCGACTGAAACTGTGTATAGAGATGGAAATTTTGATGATATGGACAGAAACTCGACTGAAACATTGTATAGAGAAGGAAATTTTGATGATATGGACAGAAACTCGACTGAAACTGTGTGTAGAGAAGGAAATTTCGATGATATGGACAGAAATTCGACTGAAACTGTGTGTAGAGAAGGAAATTTTGAATACATCGAAACCGTCGGGTTCAGTGGGCTCTACCAAGGATTCTACATCGAAACCGTCAGGTTCAGTGGGCTCAACCAAAGGTTCTACATCGAAACCGTCATGTTCAGTGGGCTCAAACAAAGGTTCTACATCGAAACCGTCATGTTCAGTGGGCTCAACCAAAGGTTCTACATCGAAACCGTAGGATTCAGTGAGACCAAAATAGGATTCCGTGGAGATCGTGCGTGGCTCTCATTTACAAATGAAATCCTAATAAAAATAAATAATTTCAGCTTTATTATTTATTGATTCCTCATAACTTAACTACTGATGGAATCTCACTTGTAATGATAATGATTATTTAGAAAGGTCAACCTAGAAAATGCTAGCAATATTCTCAGGCGGGGCCTGAAACTAAACTGCAGTCCATCGCTGTATATTTTGTGGATGTTAATATGCACATTTATTACTCTATTCCTAAATAGAGTTTAGTCTGTTCATCGGAAAAATGAAGTTTATTCCGTTCGTTAAATTTTAGATAGACAAATCGGGAGACTGTGACATGGGTGCGCTGTCGACGATGTGCAGGCAGTAAACTTGAAATTTTGAAATTATTATTTCGAAACTAAGGAAGTTTATTTTGCTTTGATGAAGGAATTAGTGGTCCTTTGAATAGGATTAGCAATGGCGTAATGAGAAACGAATAGCTTCACAAATTGAGTACACGAACACGAATATATAAAAAAATATAACTTAGTACTCACTGCGGTGAGTGACAGAGAGCGCATTTTCTCGTCGACGAACACTTGAGGTCACGGACGGACATACAGACGGACAAGGCCCCAAGGCGAGCACAATAGTGCATTTTTTCCACAAATGAGAAAATGCGCTAAAAAGTATGATAAGCGAGGACGGATTCGTCCACAACCTGAGCTCTCTGGTATTCACTGCGTCCGGAACGGACTACGTTGAAAAGGCGTAGGGTTGTCGTTACTGGGTTTGGGCTGCGAGTTTTCCTGTTTTTTTTTCTCTATGTTTCTGATTATCAGAACTGCTAGGCACTAAATAAACCATATATAGGTGAGGGGCTTCATGGACCAGTTTCCAGTGCTCATATAAGAATAAATAAGAAGGAGTGCTTCGCGTCACGCCTCCTATATTCCTCCTGCCCTAATATACCTGCTGTGTGTGTAACTCGGTGATTTAGACGTGACTTGCTAAATACCATTGGTTCAGCGCAGTAATCCTTGACACGCTTTATTGATAATAATTTAATTTGTAGGTTTATATCCATGCCCCATGAGGTGTGCCCAAAAAGAAACCCTCCCAAATTTATTTCTAATTTAGGTAAGGTTTGGTTTGGTTAGGTTAGTTTGTCGGGTGTTTGATTAAGAAGAGATTTTGATAGGTGATTGGCAGTGTTGACTGTGGTTAGGTAGAGTGCGGAAGATGTTTTTTGAGTGTTAAGGCACTAGAATAAATTTCAAGATGCGCCGGATCTTCTCAGCCGAATCTAACGCGCTACACATCCGCTGCACAGGCAGTTCGACCAAACGATTTACGGTCCAATTTTACATACTTTATTCTGAATATACGAAAGATGTTTTATTAAGCCAATGAGATTTGTCCAGGTTCGATGGAATTTCATCCAAATAACTGGTTGGTCCAATTAACCGTTTTCGAATGCATACAACTTGATTAATCTTGCAATCGGTTTTGAACATATATGTTTGTGAAGATTACCATCAGTTTATTCAACGAAACTTCGATTATTTCTTTGAAATTACCATTTGCGGAATGGACAATAAAATATAGCTTTGTTAGTTGTCGACATTGCTCACTTAATTTTTAGCATTCCCATTTTACAGATTCTTTTTTAACGAATGTGGTTACTCTTTCTGCCTTGTTTTTCACATCCAGGGGATTGATTAAATAGTCTGTCAAATATTAGCAGCTTATTACATGTTTATTACAGAAATTTTGTCACGATGTGTGTACCTTGCAATTGTCTACTAAATTGAATTGGAATCCCATAAATGGTTGCATATTGTTAGTTACTGAATGTTTTATTTATGCGTGTTCACTGCACAGTCCAGTTGTTGCGTCTATGGTGCCACGCAGAAGCGTGGATGTGAAGGAGCACTTAGCCACCCTGATGACGTAGCCGCTGGTGCGACCGGCGTAGATGTAAACATAAACAACTTCTCCAGCTGAACCCTCAATCTCGATCTGGAAGGAGATTTCGTCGAGGAAGATCCCTGTTATTCGGCTCCTCGTAACGTGTCCCCACTTGTCAACTTCGCCGAGGATCGCGTATCTGGATAACCCGACGTCGAAAAGGGGAGACGTCGCAATGATTTTGAAGTCCATAAATTTGTCAAAAGCCAAAATGGTGATAGCATCATCGGCACGGTGTTCGATGTAGTTCTCTTCGTAGGGATAGTGTGTCCATGAAAGGTAATCCTTGGACATAGATTTTTCAAGGTTTAGTTGTCTGGGGGTCCAACTTTGTCGATCACCAACTTCAGCGATGAATATTAAACCGAACGTATGCTCGGACCCGATAGTCGTTTCTGTAGTCCAAATGTAACCTTGTGAATCATCACGCATAAAGAAATCGTCAATGGCTGTCAAGGGCTTGTCGGGCTGCAGGAGTTTACCATCGGGACGACACGACTTCAACACGAGATCTCTGTTGATATTTTCCATTTTGTCACCGAAACCCACCGGTCCGGCGCTCAAGGTGGACACAGCGGATTGTAGAGCGGGGTTGTACTCGATTGCTTCTAGACATTTGTTATCACAGAAATCCATCGCAGAGAAATCTGCATTTACAAAGCACCAAGGGCGGTCTTCAGTTCCTTCGGGGTTACGACAATAGGCCCCTTGTTGCCCGAAGAAGCCATTCCAGTCGACGCACGAGTAGCCATGTTCTGTCATGCTCTGATTCCCAATGTAGCTGTACCCTTCATGGACGTAGCAGTCTTGATCGCAAGTCGGGATGGAGCAATACTCCCACTGCCACAAGTCCTCAGGCACATCTGAAGAATAAATCAACAGAAGATGAAGGTAATCCATCGAACCCTTAAATTTCTGCAATCGTATTGACATTTTTGGAACAGTCACATTTTTTAAACTTTGGTGTTAAGTAAAATTCTGGAAAGAAGCACAGAAAACAATCGAATGCTCAATGGATAACACAGCCGAATCATGTACATATCCAACTACGTTTCAAAGGACATCACTTTTAGTATTAAAAATTCAAGATCATACTTTACGGAAATAATGATGTATTTTCTCTTAAAAAGTCTTAGGTAAACAGAAGGGTTCACCAGAATTTTCTACTCACCCAGAAATGCGTCTGTGAAGCAGAAGGCTCTGTCGTGCATCTGTCCAGGGTTGCGGCAGAAGTTTTCGTACAGCGAGTCTCCCGGATACCTGAACTTGTAGTCGACAGTATCCCAGTACAGGCACGGCTTTCCTTGTTCTGAACCACAGGCAGAAGAGAGACTGGGTCTCATCTCAACATTACGGGCAGGAATTGTATTATCATAGTTCTAGAAGAGGCACGAAATAGCAAATAAGTCTTTGTGTTGACGATATTATTGTTTACGCTGCCAGAGATTGTGCTGAAAACTCGACTACCAAGTAAGCTCAATATGGATTAAGTTCAAGATTGGCTCAGTGAGTTGGGAGATCGAAACCCGCAATAAGTTGTATGAATCCTGGTCGAAATTAGAATGATGGCCGGATAGTTGAGATCCGATTGCATCAAAAAATACTTTTCCACGCCGAGAGAAATAAACTTGTTGAGAGAGGTGCAAGTAAACATGAAAGCGGGAGGTTGACTCCAAAGCGTTGGATCGAAGGAACTAAAGTTATCCAAAATCTCTAGTTGATAATGTAATTTCCTTTTTTGTTACTTGACTTATCATATTTTAATTACTTCAGCCATCAGACTTGAGTCTGTAACTAGATATTTCGTACTTCTTTGCTCTTTTAATTTTATTACATATTAAATGTGAACTAAATTGAAATGTTGCATCTCTTCGGCTATAAGGTAAAGACATACAGGTAAGAAGGTTTAATAATTGCCCGCACCTGTGACATTAACATGACCGAGGTACGAGGAAGAGCCGGCGTTGAAAGACTGGCACCAGACGTAGGGGTTGTTGACGTTGTCGTTGCTGGTCCAGAAGACGTCTTTGAAAGGCTTCAGCCCCAGGGCGTGGGCGAACAGGGAGGTGTGACCGATCTTCCATTGGTTCTGCAGAGGAAGGTGTATGCTGTATTCGTCAATACGGACAAATTTCTGAGTTATAACTCATATCCGTATGCAGGGTTCGCCATATTTATGGCAACGGATGTTTGCTATATAAAAATAAATTGGTTTCTAGGAGACTTTTCTTTTATAATGAAGCTTAATATCATCTATTAATTCATCTATTTTATATTGCGGAAGTCTAAGGTGTCTAAATTTACTATTACTTGGGACAGTAGATAGAAAAGCAATTGTAACCCTTCATAAAAAGAGCGAGAGTAATTCAGTCATTACGAAAAAAGCTCCAAATTCGTCGTGAAACTGTGTGGAAGGTGGTAAAAAAATTCAAGGAAACTGATGAAACATGCAATCGACCTGGTCAAGGAAGGAAACGAAGTGTCCGAACAAAACAATTGGTCATAAATACGAGGGAGAAGTTGAGGAGAAACCCTCGTCGCTCAGCTGCAAAATTGGCTGCAGAAGCAGGAGTCAGTCAGACATCAATGCGTAGAGTCCTCAAAGATGACCTCAAAACCTCCCCTTACAAGATGCAAACAAGGCATGAACTAACAGACCGTCATGAACGAATGAGGCTCGAAAGATGCCAGCACATTATGGATCTCATTGAGGATAGCACGCTGCCCAACTTGGTGTTCAGTGACGAGAAAAATTTTGACATTGAACAAAGCGTTAACCGTCAAAATTATAGAGTTTGGAGTCGGGATGGATCCGTGGCAACCAGAACAGCAACACGACGTCAAAATCCCATGTCCGCGAGGGTTTGGGCCGCGGTAACCACCACTGGGAGGTCCCCACTCGTTTTTGTCCTCTCAGAAGTGAAATTGAACAGTCAGCGATACATTTCGAACATTTTGGAAGCTGTGTTGTTACCTTGGGACCGTAAACACTTCAACGGCTCACCATGGAGTTTTCAACAAGTCTCTGCCCCATCACATGGCTCAAATATGACCCAAAACTGGATTCAGGGTCACATCCCAGCGTTCATTAGCAAAAATGAATAGCCCTCAAGAAGCCCTGATTTGAATTCTCTCGACTTTTCTGTGTGGGCTATTTTAGAGAGTAGGGTCTGCAGAACACCTCATGATTCTTTGGATAGTTTGAAGTCTAAATTGACACGAGAATGGGACTTGATCCCACATGAAATACTGCGTGTCTCCTGTGAAGCTTTCCCGCGTAGATTGGAGGCCGTCAGTAAAAATAAGGGTGGTCATATTGAATAAATATGTCTGAGAATTGTTTAGGTAATTCTTGGCTACTAGCTCATCCAATAAAAAACAATGCACCTGTTTGTTTCATTGCGAAATAACAAAAAACATGCGTTGCCATAAATATAGCGGACCCTGTCTTTTAAACCTGTAATTCGTGAAAAATTATGGAAGCGAATTGAAAATGAGAGGATAATGATTTATTTTAAGTGAAAAATGTATATTGCACTTTTTCCACCCGTGGCCGAACCATTGTAAATGAATGACTGATCACTCAAACTCGATACAGAATTAGAAAAATTACGTTCTTGTACCTCGTGTATTGCATATTAAATTTTATTATTTATAGGTGCTTATACACTGGGCGATTAGTTGTGTCTACTACAGTTTTGCAGGCTGAGAGCCTATACACGAGTATAGGTTTTCGGTACACCTCGACTGCGCTTGCAGTCGCAGAGAGTATAGGTTCGCGTCAGAGCGACGTTGAGAGTTGTCGAGTAAGGGTGTGCACGGTGGAGGCATGCGAGAGCTGGACAGCAGTGTGCGCTACAGTGGGCAAGAGAGAGAGAGCGACGCAGCTATGCTCAGTATGACACCCGGGCAGCTACTGAGTGCAATAGACTGCTTCAAAACAACTCGAGTTGCTCTGCGTGCAATGAACCAGCTAGTTGCCTCTGAACACGTCAAGCATCACAAATTTTAGTTGCATCGCCTAGTAGAAGCAACGAACCGCCCCGTGTATAAGCACCTTATGGCAGTCAAGGCAAGTTAAGCTTGCTTGGGTCGATAAGTGACATATGTCAACTTACGTCTAATGAGAGTGTGACGCCACACATTTCTTAGTGGGCGGAACCATGCAACGGCTATGTTACAGCGTATGTGATAAATATTGTCTATACTTAGAAACAAATTTAGATTCTTTTAACTCACGAAGGCTAAGTGATAGTCGTCGCTGACTCTGATCTGCGTGACTGATGACTCTGAAGCGCCATGCAGGGCTTCTCTGGGGAGACTCATGCAGTACTGCACAGGAATGCCGTGCTGCCGCGCAGACACTGCCATGTTGTGCAGCCAGTCGTCTGCTAGGGTGACGTTGGTGTGCAGTACGCTGAACGATAAGGATAGACATATTATATCATGAAGATTGTATAACGCTTGCAGAAATAACTGTAGTGTTTGATTATTTTTCTTACGCCACATATATATATATGATATATATTCATAAATAACTTTAACTCTTAATATTAAGGTTGGCCGTTGCGGGTCGGTGTAACGACACTACCGTCAGACTATCGTTTCCATCACGTAACGATCGCTATCGAGTATAGTTTTTCTTAAATACTCACGGAACCTGGCATCATACCTCACTCCGTCGTACTCCTGGTCCAGCCAGTCCTGCTCGTAGGTCGATAGCCCCCACTGAAGAGCTTCTTCGAACAGACCGTCCCAGAAGCTCTGGTCAAGAGGCACGGCTTTCTGGGTACTCCCGTCAATGAAGAATGGATACTGGCCTGGATTAAAAGAAAGTTGAAATCCCTTTTTCTGTGAAACGTGTATTAAAATTTGAACATGGGATATCTAGAAACATCACACTATCGTCAATTACAGACAACCAAATATGATATTAAATTACAACATTATTCCAGTCTTCAGAGTTTGCCAACCCTTTTCAACCATCTCCCATATGGATGTCTTCTGAATTGGGAGTCTCGGCTTATTTGAAACCCGATATAAATTTTTCTTCAATTGGCATGTTTCTCAAGCACTTTGCATTGTTGACTGCGGGTCTCATTTGTGTTGCCGAGTTCTGCCGGCAAGATTCTTTGCACTTCCTCATGCCGACGACGCATGTAAGACATCACATTTACTGGTCACTGCAGTGCAGTGACGACGGCGCTGTGATGGAGCCCCGGGAAGCTCAGTTAATGTCTCGGTGTTGCTGGTGGACGGCACTTAGTTGCTGTCGGAGAGGTGGTGCTTTCAGCATGTGTGTGTCCCTAAACACTCAGGGTAAGTTACCCGGGAGGATCTTAAAGTATTTTCGATAAAACTCACCTCCGTTCTGATCGGCATAATCGGTGTCACTGGCGAAGTATCTGTTGTGGGCGAGGATGGGCCAACCCGTCCCCTTGAGGCTCTCAATACCGTCCGGAAAAATATCTGCTCTGGCGGTCCAATTCTTGACTCCGTCTCCCAGTCCTTTGTAGTACCACCACGAGTCAAGTTGCAGGTACCTGAATGTTAAGTACTTAATTAACGGTACGCCACTTGACACCATGACCACCTCTATTAAAGGTGAAGTGTCTTGTTCAGTTTGTCATGCCGGTGGCATGAAATATAATAACACCAATCTACCTGATGGGAATATCCTGCGCCGTGGCATAGTCAGACAACCCCAGCAGCAACATCTGGTAGTCACTGTAGTCGTCTGAGTTGTAGTAGTAGTAGGCGCCATTGTCGGTCCAGTAACCCAAGTATTGAGTGGTGAAGTCGTCCGATCTATTTGCTATTCCGAATTTTTGTTGGACATAACGACCCCATTCTGAAATAAACAGTAGAAGGTTTCAAATGGGCGTAGGAGAATTGTTGGGAAAATAAAGACCTTTACAAAACTTGTGCAGGGGTAGTTTTCTTCCCTGTTGGATCCAAGATTGAGGCGAGAGAGATAACTTTTACAAATTGTTACAACGCTGATGACTGACAAATTCGTCTGCCTCATGCTATTATATCAGCCATGGCAGAGGCTGTCTGACCAAAATGTTTTCCACACAATTACGCGGGTTGTGATCCCGTTGCACCCAGATACATTCAAGCAAAACCGACGGATATCGACCTCATTTGTATAAATCCGAAGGCTTGCAGAGTTCCTAGTTTGTAAAATTTAAATTTGGCACTCCCTGCCCTTTATTCTACGTGTAGATGTATTAATATTTATATAATTCGTAACACTTCTTTATTTAAGATCCAAAGTTCGATATAACCAACTCCCTCGCACAGCTAGTGTAGTCACCCATAACAGTGTGGACGAAGGAAGGGTCCTCAGTCTCCTTCACGCCCGTCACGGCGATCACGCTGACGCGATAACCTGCAGGGATGGAGTCCGCCCTGCCCTGCACCTGTGACGAGCAACAAGTCATTACCTGCTTCCACGAACCATTTATTGAGAGATTTTTATGCTCTTTAAATACTTTTATCAAAGATCTGCTCCAGTTATGAAATTTCCTTTCAAACAATATTAAGTTATCTAAGCGCATTTAGATTCATGGTTGAGGTGTCCTTAGTCCGCAGAGCGCAACAACATCCACATATTAGAACTAATCTGTTAGCACATAAATTGCACAGCGTAGGTTTTGTTCATTTTATCAACGACTTTTGCATTTTTTCTATAATGAAATTTATCAACAGCAATTCGCAATACGCACCCCGTAGTGCAGGGCGGCCGTGTTGTTTTTGACCTCCAGCCAGCTGCTCACCCCCATGGGGTGCTCCAGGGGGGACACCAACAGGTTGTAAGACGGCCCCACGATGAACCCTGCAATGCCTGCGTGCTCTCCCCACCTGAACCTGTCAGAGTTCTCCCAGAAGCTGGGGAGGGAGGCAGAGTACGTTAGTTCGGTACTCTACAATAGGGGAAGTGTCAGACAATAAAACGCATAAGTAAAAGAGGCGACTTGAACTGGGTTGTGGTATCTATGCAAGGTGACCCAGTGGTTAAATTCAGAGTACCAAGATTGAAGCAGAGAGGTGCGGGTTCGACTCAGCTCTGTGCGCCAGTTTCTGGTCAGAATCGGCAAGGAGGCCGGGCGGTTAAGCAAATAAATTTGAAACAGTGAGTTGCGTATTCAAGCCGGCAACAAGCTGTGGATGTTCTGCAATGTTTAGAATCGTCGACAGGCGTACGGCCTACTAAACGCTGAAACCGCTATTATTATTATAATGGAAGGCAAGGGCAAAAGAGGTAACTTGAACTGGGTTGTGATATTTGAGCCTCGTAGTGAATGATTGCCGGAGACTGGCAGGTGAACTGCCTTTAATTACTATTCACGAGTTACGGGAGGAACATGTCGGAGTTCTTCAAGAAGCTGGGGAGGTTGACAGCAGTTAGTTCAGAACACATTAAGTACAAGTAATTATGATAAACTATGCTAAACTGAAACGCTACAAAAAAAAACATATTTTTAAATTATTCAACATGAAATTTTATATGATTCTTCCTTAAATGAGTGGCGACCCAGCACTTTAATGACAAATTATGGTAATAGAGCTAAAGATGTTTCAAACGTAATAGTCTTAAGTTAGCTATAACGTCAATAAATGGTTATTTTTTAAGTATTTCTACGTTAATAACGGGGCCAAGTGTCTTCGGTCATGTCTGCTATATACGTATTTCCGATCATCATACTTGTATAGTCACGTATAGTCGTATGCTCATACAAGATTTGGTGTAGATTAATTATTATAGTGTGACGACATTAATCTTGACATTAGCGTTTCATTCTGCTTTCTCTTCTCGGACCAACTCCGTCACTGAGTATTGTTTTTTCTTCAAGTTTGTATGATTTATAAAATTTCTTGACATACGCGCTCCTTATCCGTTGGGTTTATTGATTAATTTAAATATCTTCTTTTCTGGATGTTCAAGTTTGGCACTTCAACAAGCATACTGAACCTGCATACACATAACGCGTCCTCGTATTAACTCACCAGCTTAGAGTATACAGACCTTAAGACGATGTACCCTTGAGTTTATTCCGCGACGATGAAACACACGCATTTGTATTCAACCGACATGCTTATACCTGCCTTGGGTGTACAGCTTTCAAGCTGCGTGAGTGCACAACTGTATATACTATATACTATACATACTCATTTTGGGTGTAACCTGTAGAACCCCTAAGTATTGGGTAAACAACTCACACGATCACCAAGTACATCCGTATTGGGTGATCAACTTCACGATCACCCACCTGCCCTGGGAGTACAGCCCCCAGCCCAGCATGTTGCCAGCGGGGGTGACGAAGCGGAAGGAGTTCTCGGAGGAGGTGAGATCGAACACCGGGTACCCGCTGCACAGCGTCGAACTGTCGCCCACGCCGCACCCTGTCGGAAGGATGGATTTTCACGACCCTTGCCACCTTAGATCGTAACAAAGGCATTGAGCATGCTGGTCTGGCGGAGTCCTCAGACTATTTCAGACTATTCCACTTATCATATTATATTATAGTGATGCCGGCGCTGAAGAGTAGGCCTGATGTGGCCTGATGTGGCCTGTCGCCGATTCTTGTACTTTTCTTGACTTGTTCATAGGAGATCTGGATATAGGTCCTTCGACCGGATCTTCATAACTGACGCTAGTTTGAAATAGATACTAGACTTCTACCGGGTTCGATATGGTGGTAGACATTTCAAGTCTGAACACATGTTTTTCCATGGCTTTATTTAGTCTGTTCTTGAACTCGTTCATATTCGGAGCGTCAAAGATGTAATAAGGGAGGCTATTCCACATGTCGGTGATTCGAAGCGTCAAGTTGCCACATCGCCACTCATCGTTAGCTTCAATTTTATTTAGAACTATTGTTACATTTGGCAGCGTTTCTATTTCTAGAAGGTGTTTCTCGCTTGTAACTCACGCACCCTCGATGCCGTTGGGGAACGTCGTCTCGAACACCGTCAGGTTGGAGTCATCGTAGAGCTTGGCTGCGGTGACGAAGCGGGCGCCGCTCGTCGTGACGTAGACCCTCGTCACCGCGACGTAGCGGCCGAGGCTGTCGTCTCCGGCGACGCTTGTCGCGTTCGAGAGGGTGAGGCATCTGTTTCAGGGGAGACGGTGTTATTGTTGCTGTTAATTAGGTGCTCAGTCAAAATATACTGATATGGTGCACGTGATTTCTCCATATTAAAAGGTAAGCCTGATTTTTATTATTAATTTCACTAGAATTGTCGAATATATTTTTCTCAACTGAGACCTGGCTCTAATTTAGCTCCAATATACATGTTTCATACCTCAATCTACCCAATAATTTGTTTAAAAAGCATGAATTTCTGGAGGAAACTGGTTTTGTAGAAAAGCTTTTATAGCCGTGCTATGAAAATATTGAGTACTATACGTATTAAAATAATGATATAGTTAAAATAACGTTGAAGATTTGAAAACGCCTTCTTCACATAAAATTAATAAAAAAATGGCTGTAAATGTAGGAGGAATAAAAAAAATCAACACGACTGGTAATGGTGAATTGAAGTAGCATAACAACGGCTAGTAACCCACAGTATTTTCTCTCAATAATTAGTAACCCCGTTTTCCTTCAAGATTCTTATCTTACACTATATTCTGCTAAAGTGAATATCTACAAATCTAATACTCGCACTCTAGTTATCTAATATTGTCAGAACAGATGCTCTGATCTCGAGAGAAGATGTCACCTGATCCCAGGCTACAATCTGGGATGCAGCATAATGGAGGCTCCGTGTAAACATCCACTCTGTACCTACAATCTACTTGCCAATCAGCAACCTTCTGATTGCTGAAGGGCGATCAGAAGTAAATGCAATCAAAAATAACTGAATGGCAATCATAAGTCACTCCAGGGGTAACTCAAAGGTAACTGAATAGCAATCAGAAGTAATTCCAGAAGTAACTCAGAAGTGATTTCTGTCCCGTCCTGTAACTAAAATAGTTTTAATAAACATGTCATTACTCGATATTATCATGATTCTAGTCTGACGCTTTACAATCTAGGCAGCTCGCACGACATTACATTAAACTTCTTATTTTTAAACGGGATGATGTAAATTTATAGGCTGAATTAGATTTTTCCATCAGATCTAAAGGAAATTTTGCCTCTATGATGTGTCCACATTTATTATTGTTAAAGTATAAAGGAAGCTACTTGGGTGGCTCTATATTTCCGTTCTTCGCCGATAAGCTTTCAAGATGATACTTGCATGTTATTATATTTTTTCGTCTAAAGCACCTTAAACGGTCCATATTTCCCGGTAATAAACGGTAGATATCAATAAACTGTAAATAATATACATGTATAACCGGTAGATAATTTTTCCCGTCCATTACTACCCCACGGAGCAATGAGAGAAGTTTTTCGAGATTGTAGCTCACCCGTTCTCCTCATTACACAAGACTCCCCCCTCGTGGACGTACGGGGGAAGCTCGGTGAACAAATCCGGGGCGTTTGGTGGGGTAAGGAGTCCTGCGAATGTGAAAATATATAGGTTATTGTTTTAGTATTGATGAAGTTTGAATACCGGAGTTCCCCTAGAGGATCGATATGGCGCTTAGTGTGAAGGGGACATCCAGAGGGACACACAACTTGGCTAGTCAAACAATAGACATAAGAATGATTAATTATGAATATATATACATTCTTAACCGTAAAGAAAACTGCATAGAAAACGAGCGGCCGCAGGGTAACTGCAAAGAAAAGCTCACCGCGCGCGGAGCAGACCAGGCACGCGGCCAGCGTCCACGTCAGCAACATCGTCGGAGGAGATCTTTTGTTCTACACTGCAGGCTTCAATGATATTCTGATACTTGATGATGATTTATATGGAAAATTGGGGAATAAATTAGTATGAATTATTATTTTATTACGATAGATCACGCTTATTAAGGTAGATGGAAACGCTTATTATCCGAATAAGGCACTCAGAAACAGTTATTAGATGACTGAGTACTTACTTTAGCAAGGAATGCAATTACACAGATAAGCTATTTATCTATATAATCATTTTAGTTTCAGATAGTGTGACAAGTAAGTTAAGTAGGCTAAGATGCTATTTAGTTAGACTAAGTAACAGATACCTGGCTGTATTAAGTAACGCGTTTGTTTGTTAGTAGGTATTATGCTGTTTGTCTGAATAAAGTGATAGGATATTTTGGTGCAAAGGGAAACACGTTAATCAGTTTGGAAGGGTAACTAATTTGTTGGAAAAAATAGCGAATTTTTAGATAAATATAGTGATCTGCTAGTTAGCTGAACATGACTCCACGCAACTCGCTCAGAACATATGCAAATTACGGATCATCTCAAGCTATGTATAAAAAATATTATCGCTTGAATAATGAATTAGGCATCTGTCCATCTTCAGAAATATAATTTTCAGCTTTGAATACAAGACTACATGAGTTTCCCCAGCATGAAAATAACATCAAATTTGACTCTGACTCATCTTAACAAGTTGCAATTACTCAAGTGCCTCCACTCTCTCCAGCATTATTACTTTATTGAGTGAACTGAAAAATAGTCTAGAGATGAAACCGTTAAAAGTTGTTTACTGTAAAACCTCTTATAAACAGAGACATCAGAAGTTGTTTACTGTAAGACCTCATATAAACAGAGACATCAAAAATTGTTTACCGTAAGACCTCTTATAAACAGAGACATAAAAAGTTTTTTTACTGTAAGACCTCATATAAAGAGAGACATCAGAAGTTGTTTACTGTAAGACCTTATAAACAGAGACATCAGAAGTTGTTTACTGTAAGACCTCTTTTAAACAGAGACATCTGAAGTTGTTTACTGTAAGACCTCTTTTAAACAGAGACATCATAAGTTATTTACTGTAAGACCTCTTATAAACAGAGACATCAGAAGTTGTAGTTGTTTACTGTAAGACCTCTTATAAATAGACACATCAGAACTTGTTTACTGTAAGACCTCTTATAAACAGAGACATCAGTTGTTTACTGTAAGACCTCTTATAAAAAGAGACATCAGAAGTTGTTTACTGTAAGACCTCTTATAAACAGAGACATCTGAAGTTGTTTACCGTAAGACCTCTTATAAACAGAGACATAAAAAGTTTTTTACTGTAAGACCTCTTATAAACAGAGACATCAGAACTTGTTTACTGTAAGACCTCTTATAAACAGAAGAGCAACGCAGATGCCGCTCTCCCACCCACTCTCAGCGGCTCTTGAGAGATCCTGACATTTTCCTCGTCTATGGATATGATAATATTCTATAAATAGTCATAATTATACATAAATGGTAATTAATATGCTGAATAGTCATCTATAAGTAATTGAAAGCAATCGCGACAGTCTTGCAAATTCTACTGTGTTTATTATAAACCTGCACATATGCCTCTAAAACAAGGCCCTGTGTAATGCAGTGGACGTCCAGTGCAGTAGACGTTTTTACTATCAAGTTTTGAAAGTTATATCGCCGTAAGTCAATTAATTTAATAATTCATATCGCCTTATGTCAATTTCTTGGATCGTTATGCTCTGTCGTCTCTTCATCCTCAGTGAGTTCGCAGGTGTCAAATAGCCTCGGAAGCTTTAGGATAAAAGTTCATACGATAGTATATTGTTTATTTGGGTAAACATGATTATGTTATTATTGCATAGAGGAGATAAGTTGAAGTCTATTAAAATTAGCAGCGTCTTGATCAGTGCAAAGGCATACGCCATGAAATGCCCTGATATTATCCCGATCTCTTGGTTGGTGTAGAACTTAAGCCTTGTAGTGCTTGCTTACCGACAGTAATATTTTGCTCAGATATATGTTAAGCGGGCGTGATTTTTTTTTAATTCGCGTATGTTTATGATTTTCCACACCATGCTGTAATACATGCATTAATATGAAAAGAAATTGGGATAGTATGTACTCGTTTAGGTACCCAGGATTTTTGCAATTGAATAATGTTCGTGTGTCTAACTTTCGCAAATGTAAACAATACGATTATTGAGCAGGTACGCTTCGTTTTATTCTGAAATTAATTAGACGACCATATTAGTGCCACTGTCAACACGGCACTGATTGGGGCTCTACCGATTGGGGCTCTTACTTGCGTTAAAGTCAATCATATGCACTTACTTGACTAGTCCCTACATTATTTTGAACCGAGTCTTGTGATATCTACGGAATGGTATTAATAAAAATCTGTTAACGAGAGAGTAGGATGTTTACTGTGACTTTTTCTTAAATAACTTTTCAAGAACATATCAGCGCTGAAGAGGATTCAAGAATATAGTTGCGAATCCTTGATGCATTTATAATTTAATCACGAGTGTTCAAAGCAATTTCCGTAATTGTCTATGGTGGCATGTAAACTCGTTGAAGTGAAGGAGCATTTAGCCACCCTTATTTCGTAGTCGGTGAGACCACGCACATAGATATATATGTATACATCTTCTCCAGCAGTTCCCTCTATCTCGATCTCAAAAGCGACATCATCAGCTGTTACGCTTGTAATACGGGTCCTTGATATGGGTGCCCACTTTGCAATTTCGCCGATGATTGCGTATGTTAACCCATCGACGTGGTAGAGAGGAGATGTCGCTAGAATTTTGAAATCCAAAAATTGATCTGAAGCTGGAATACTAATAGAGTCATTTGCTGAGTGAATCCTAGATTTTTCTTCGTACGGATAGTGTGTCCATGATAGGTAATCCCTGGACATCGATTTTTCAAGGTTAAGTTGTCTGGGGGTGTGACTTTGACTATCAGCAACTTCAGCGATGAATATTAAACCGAACGTGTCCTCTGACCCGATAGTTGTTTCCGTAGTCCAAATGTTACCTTGTGAATCATCACGCATGAAGAAATCGTCGATAGCTGTCAAAGGCTTGTCGGGCTGCAGGAGTTTCCCATCAGAACGACACGACTTCAACACGAGATCTCTGTTGATGTTTTCCATTTTGTCGCCGAAACCCACCGGTCCAGCGCTCAGGGTGGACACAGCGGATTGTAGAGCAGGGTTGTACTCGAGCGCTTCTGGGCACCTGTTGCCACAGAAATCCATCGCAGAGAAATCTTCATTTACAAAGCACCAAGGGCGGTCTTCAGTTCCTTCGGGGTTGCGACAATAGGCCCCTTGTTGCCCGAAGGAGCCATTCCAGTCAACACATTTATAGCCAAGTTCTGTTATGCTCTGATTCCCACTGTAGTTGTACCCTTCGTGGACGTAGCAGTCTTGATCGCAAGTCGGGATGGAGCAGTACTCCCACTGCCACAAGTCCTCAGGCACGTCTGAAACGGTAGAGAAATATTATTCATCTCATATTTTAAACATGCACCTTTTATTTGGAACGATCGAGAATTTTTGTGAACAGTTCCTGCATGCAAAAAACTCAAGCATCTTTAATATAATTTTGGTATAGGTACTCTTTAATCAGGTTTCATTGAAGACCAGAGAATTAATTTTATTGACAATTTTCTTATTAGTTTTTTCAATAGATCGAACAAGATTTTTAGTTTGCACGCGTAAATCGAAAATCAGATTACCGAAGGACGTTTTTATTTCTTTAACGACGTTTCGAATGTTTCTATCATTCATTATCAAGTTAAAAGGCGCATTGAGTGATGGAATTTGGCTCGACATAAGTACAAAATCAGGTAAATAGGATACTACTCAAAAATCAAAAGTGTTAAGAATAATTACAAAATCACAAAAATAAATAAAAATTAGAGCACCGAAAATCACTCCGAAAACAGTCTCAATGTTCTGACAAATCCAGTAGTTTGAAGGTTGATGGCTGGGGTCCTATCCTTAATGATGAGGGCCTCAGCTATCATGAGTCGGTTGGCGTCGGGGCATCTCATGACGACGCTGGTGCATTAACTTCCAGCACCGTACGAGTGATGGTCTCGTTGTGGGCTTCCATCAGGTGGTTCCTTGGTCCACCAGACTGAAGGTGGCATGTGAGACGTCGGCTTAATGTCGTGGTTGTGAGTCCGATGTAGTCCATGGTAGGGAGAAGTCTACAACCTTCTCTACTGCAAGAAAATTTATGGACTACATTAGTCTCTTGGAAAACTCCCGTATTTTTGTATGGGTTATTGATCATTACAAGATTCTGTATTTTCTTGTCCTTGTAATAAATCATTAGTTTAATTTTATTATTGGTTACGTTCACGATGTTGTTTTGAACGATAGAATGAAGGATCCGTTCATCTGCTTTATAACCGCTGGTCATTTGGTTCTCATAGTATAGATGGTTGTGACGTTTGCGTCAGTCTCTGGTTCGTGGTTGAGTCTGTTTTGGTATATTCGAAGTTTCGAAATTTCCGTGTCGATGGTTCTATTGGTGAATCCGTTATTGACCAGGATTCTTTTGCAAATTCTCAGCTCCATATTAAAGTCATTTTCAGACGAGCAGGTTCTGAAGGCTCGTTGGATAAGAGCACATATTGTGCTTCTTTTATAGCGCTCTGGGCATTCGCTATCGGCGTTCAGGACTCTCCCGACATCTGTTGGTTTTCGGTATACTTTTGTGACGTACGAATTATTTTTAGCTTGGACGAGTATATTTAAAAATGGTAAGGTGCGATTTTGGCCGAAGTCGTAAGTAAACTTCAAGTCAGAATTAATTTCAAAGGCCATTCGTGCAAAGGATTTACCCGTGCAAACTAAAAATCTTGTTCGATCTATTGAAAAAACTAATAAGAAAATTGTCAATAAAACTATTTCTCTGGTCTTCAATGAAACCTGCTTAAAGGAACAAATTTTGCCAGCATATACTAGTACTCTTTAATACAGACAAGCAGCACATAGTTGAAAATACGCAAGTGCTTTCCATGTGATTATACACATGAAAAATTCCACACTAAAAAAGTTTTACGTGAGCTTAAGGACTCAAGACAACCCTGCTCACCAAGAGAGGCGTCTGTGAAGCAGAAAGCCCTGTCGTGCATCTGTCCGGGGTTGCGGCAGAAGTTTTCGTACAGCGAGTCACCCGGATACTTGAACCAATAGTCGACGGTGTCCCAATACACGCAAGGAGTCCCTTGTTCTGAAAATAAAAAAGAGACTCAAGTTCATAATTGCACCAGTAGCAGGATCATTCTTTGTCGAAGAGAATGCACAGAAAACGAAAAAAAGAATTCAATTGCGGCGCAATCATGTTGTTCACTACCGTATAAACAAATCACACCCTGGCCATACGCCCATCAATTTAGTTTTGAACGAGTTTGTCGATGAGGAATAGCGCTAAGTTGAAAAAAATCGCACCGTAAGACAAGGAATGACTAGATTTATGTATACGCAAAATAATTATGAATTCGGGAATAAATATATAATGTATAACACATGGTTATCGTGACGGGAGGTGGAGGTGGGTGAATCCTGTAGCGCCGGGACAAGGCAATTCGTTCAAAATTGTTGCATCATCGTCGCTACAGGACTTCGCAAATCCCCGAATTTCAATTCACCCCAAATCACAAATTTCGACCTATGCGTTAGCTCGTTGGAGCAGCTCGATGACTTCATGTCGAAGTTAAAGCAGGAAAAGTGAGTGACAAAACATGGGTGAAGCAGGAATCTTCTTGGTGGTGAGCTACGAGAAGGATGTCAATTAGCGATCAGGCTACGGTGTGTCGCTAAACTTAGAATGCTAATTTTCGGTAAATTAGGTACAAAGAACTAAGGTTCACGAAGAATCACTTCCGGTAATGAATGACTCAGCTCTTTTTCTAGGTAAAGAATGACTTAGCTAGACTTAGAATGCTAATTTTCGGCAAATTAGGAACAAGGAACTAAGGTTCACGAAGAATGACTTCGAGTCTATCACGATGGGGCACTCCAGCCCCCGAGACGCCCTGAGAGAGACTTGCCTACTGGTGCAAGAGGGTGGTGGATCAGAAGATGATTGAACTTATAACGTATCTGTTTTCTGGATGGAAGTGATCATTGCCGTTTTTCTATAATTTCCGAAAGTCCCAGTACCTGTGACGTTAACATGACCGTTGTACGATGAAGAGCCAGCGCTGAAGGACTGGCACCAGACGTAGGGGTTGTTGACGTTGTCGTTGCTGGTCCAGAAGACGTCTTTGAAAGGCTTCAGCCCCAGGGCGTGGGCGAACAGGGAGGTGTGACCGATCTTCCATTGGTTCTGCAGGAGAAGATGTCAGCAGTAGTGATCAAGTTGGAAGCAAGTTTACATTGTCAGAATACAAAATTTCTTAACTTTGCGTTTTCCTTCGGGGGTCATTCGGAACAAGGTATTTTGAAAAATTTAGAACATGAGATGGGAGATATTTATATAAGTGTGCAACATAATCAATAATATTGCTCTAGCTCTCATGGTCAAACCATTGTTAGCGGATAATTGAATCAATAATGTATGTAATGTATGACTCATAACGGTCAACACTGATACGTTTTACTTAATAAATTACACTTGTGGGTAAACGCTACGACAAATAAAAAAAGGCGCGACTGATCATGACACCTACTGGTTATGAGTACACTTGTGAATGTGTATTATTTTAACTCACGAATGCTAAGTGATAGTCGTCGCTGACTCTGATCTGCGTGACTGATGACTCTGAAGCGCCTCGCAGGGCTTCTCTGGGGAGACTCATGCAGTACTGCACAGGAACGCCGTGCTGCCGCGCAGACACCGCCATGTTGTGTAACCAGTCGTCTGCCAGGGAGACGTTGGTGTGCAGTGCGCTGAAGAATAGAAACGAGCGAGAAAAGTGATAATTAAAAAATGTGCTCCGAAAAATGTTGTTTCTTGCTAATGTCCGACCTGCCCTGATATTATTTGATTACTTAAACTCAGCAACACTTATTTTAGAAGAATGCAAAATAAATTTTAGGTCAATGTGGCGCAGTTTCCCAGTATACGCATCTACTTAGAACTGCTGACTTAATTTTTTTGACTCCAGAATTCCAAAAAAGCCGATAACTTAGGCTGCCAATGGCAATTTGTTTACTTAAACATTCGTATTCAACAACCATTACACGACGCTAAAAAATATTGGTCAATTAACATGATATCGCACAGAATCAAGCTTAATTCGAATTTAAGGAAAAGAAGTAAGAAGCAGAAATTGACAACATCGCTCGGTGGGTTACCTGGCCTAGCCAGTCCTACTCGTAGGACGTACCTCACTCCGTCGTACTCCTGGTCCAGCCAGTCCTGCTCGTAGGTCGACAGCCCCCACTGAAGAGCTTCTTCGAACAGACCGTCCCAGAAGCTCTGGTCAAGAGGCACGGCTTTCTGGGTACTCTCGTCAATGAAGAATGGATACCGGCCTGTATTAATAGAAAGATGAAATCCCTTATCCAAAAAAATCTATTTTAATTTAGCAGTGGACTTAAAAACCCCTAACAATCGTCTAACCTGGTATGGACATTTTGCGACATTATTCTATAAGTCAGACTTTTCGAGGCTGGATGGTAGTTCTTTTTTAACCATCTCCAACACGGATGTCTTCTAAAACGCGTCCCGGGTTGTTTGAAATCCGATGGGATTTAACGTTCCCATGGGCATTTTTTACGTACTCTACCCAAAAACTTGAGTTATTGACTGCGAGTCTCATTTGAGTTGTCGAGTTCTGCCAGCAGATTTCCTTGCACTTCCTCGAGCGACTTCCTCGAGCGAACGACACATGTAAGAGATCACCTGTACTAGTATTTTCGGCGAAACTCACCCCCGTTCTGAGCGGCATAATCGGTGTCACTGGCGAAGTATCTGTTGTGGGCGAGGATGGGCCAACCCGTCGAAAAGAGGCTCTCAATGCCGTTCGGAAACACGTCTCCTCTGGCCGTCCAATTCTTGACTCCGTCCCCCAGGCCTTTAAAGTACCACCACGAATCAAGCTGCAGGTACCTGAATGTTAAGTACTTCATTAACTGGAGACGATGACAATCTCTTTTAGAGTTAAAGTGTTGTGTCCACTTTGTCGTATGTGTGTGTGTTGGTGTATCGGTAGTAAATTCAGTATCGCATCACGACACCTACACACCCATAAGATCGCAATACCACCCATCTACCTGATAGGTATTTCACGCGCTGTGGCATAGTCATACAATGCCAGAAGCAGCTCCTGGTAGTTACTGTAGCCGTCTGAGTTGTAATAGTAGTAGGCACCGTTGTCGGTCCAGTAACCCAAGTATTGAGTGGTGAAGTCGTCCAATCTTTCTGTTATCCCGAATTTTTGCTGGACATAACGGCCCCATTCTGCGGAAAACCATGCAATGCATTGAATCGAGGTTCAATTGTATGTATTCGAGAAACGGGCCGTAATAGTTATTCATCCATTGGATTTAATGTTATTTCCTAACACACCTAGTAAAGACAAATCAATGGTTGTCTTGGGAGAGATCCAACGTTTAGTACGTTCAGAAAGTGTGGACAAACGCACCAGGACGCAACGCAAATTTATTCAACAGAACCTGCTAAGACGGTCAACAGAAACAAGCCACAGGATTCGATTATGTCGAACTTTAATTTCTTCAAACCGATACAGGAATAATCTTCCTGCGGCCTTCAGATCTACATTCAAGTTAGACTCATCTGTATTAAGCCAAGTTTAACATTCAGAGGCTTTCGGCCTAGAAACCGTTCCAGTACGCATTCATGCTCACCTAGTTAATTTGTGACGCGTACCGCCCATAATCCTACCGATTACTCATGGGTGCAAATTATTAATTAATAATTGCAACTCCCTTTCATAAAAACTCCAGTGTCATAAAGCCAACACTTCCGCACAGCTAGTGTAGTCACCCATAACAGTTTGGACGAAGCCTCGTTCTGACTCTGCTTCACGCTCGTCACGGCGATCACGCTGACGCGATAACCCGCAGGGATGGAGTCCGCCCTGCCTTGCACCTGTGACGAGCAGCAAGGCATTACCTGCTTCCATGAATTTTTTTTGAGTGATTTTTATACTCTTCAAATACCTTCATCAAAAACTTTCCAGTTATGAAATGTCCTTATAAACAATATAAAGTTATCCTGGGGCATTCAGATTCATATCTGAGGTGTCCTTAGTCTTCAGAGAGCAACAACATCAACATATGAGATCTAATCTATTAGCAAAAAAATTAAAGAGCATAGGTTGTGTTAATTTTAGCATTCATTTTTGCAAATTATCTTTTAATAAAATTGATCCCTCACAATTCACAAAACCCACCCCGTAGTGCAGTGCGGCCGTGTTGTTGTTGACCTGCAGCCAGCTGCTCACCCCCATGGGGTGCTCCAGGGGGGACACCAGCAGGTTGTAAGACGACCCCACGATGAACCCCGCGATACCTGCGTGCTCCCCCCACCTGAACCTGTCAGAGTTCTCCCAGAAGCTGGGGAGGGAGGCAGAGAACGTTAGTTCGGTACTCTACAATGAGGAAGTGTCAGACAATAAAACGAATAAGTAAAAGAGGCGACGTGAACTGGGTTGTGGTATCTATGCAGGGTGGCCCAGTGGTTAAATTCAGAGTACCAAGATTGGAGCAGAGAGGTGCGGGTTCGACTCAGCTCTGTGCGCCAGTTTCTGGTCAGAATCGGCAAGGAGGCCAGGCGGCTAAGCAAATAAATTTGAAGCAGTGAGTTGCGTGTTCAAGCCGGCAACAAGCTGTGGATGTTCTGCAATGTTAAGAATCGTCGACAAGCCTACGACCTAATTAACGCTGAAATCCGCTATGTCTGAGCTTCGTAGTGAATGATCGGCGGAGACTGGCAGGTGAACTGCCCTTAATTACCATTCAAAAGTTACGGGAGGATCCCGTTTGTTCTTGTTGGTTTTCGCAGCTTCCCGACATGCTTAGCCTGTACTGATTAATACATAATGAGCTGAGCATCCCAGAGGTATGAGCGAGAGCATGCCGCTTGCTGTTCTGGAAGGCTGTATATTGGAAGATATATGAAGAAAAGAAGATTACATGAAGAGGACAAAGTTATTAAGGGGAATTTCATCAGTTATAGGACATGATTGTCCCTTATTATTAGCAAAGAAGACTGAACTCCATACATATAGTCGCTTTTCCATACATTTTCCAGAATCTTTCCAAGAACAAGAATATCATTCATGCAGATTGCTCAATGAAAAAGGACTGTAGTGATATTTGAACATAAGTATTTCGTATTTTACCTTAGATGCGACAATGTTTGAGATGTATACAGTCATGGGGATTTTCTTAACGGACAAAAAGAAAAAGCCGTGGGCATTTTATGCAGCTGATGAATTGAAGAGCGATGATTATTTCGCACGTGTGTTGCCGGTATAGTGCCTGTGCTCAATGGTAATAAAAATAATGACCTGCCTGCTCTGTGTGCTGCTCTTAATAAGGCTCGTGTTCACAGCCACATGATCTCGGACAGACTTCGTTGGTTCCTATGGGATTCCTTCAACCAGTAGGTTAACTCTTATCACATCTTGTAAATTAGATAATAATATTAAATCTTTCACCCAGCATGTTGCCAGCGGGGGTGACGAAGCGGAAGGAGTTCTCGGAGGAGGTGAGATTGAACACCGGGTACCCGCTGCACAGCGTCGAGCTGTCACCCACGCCGCACCCTGTCAAGGGTCGAATTTAGTTTTCTTGAGATGTTCAGCCAGTAATGAACGAGTTTATTATAGTGGCGTAAATGTAATAGTTATCTTTGCGTTGAATCTGGCCTGTCGCCGATTCCAGACATTAGATACTTCTGAAAAGTTTGCTGGGGTTTTGAACCCCCAGTTCACTGCTCCAAACTTGTTAATCACAATAATTCGCCCACTTCGCCGATTTTTTGTGACCAGAACTGTTCACATCCTACACTTCATTGCTTCTATCCTGAAACTCTAAAGTGAAAAACTACTGGGTCAATTTGACTAAACTCATATTCCTACTCACACACTTTACTTGCTGTACTTTCAACCCACCAGCAGCAGTATGATAGAAGTCATAGAACCATCATATGTGACACTGATTTCATATTTCAAGCCGTTAGAAACAACGTCGACCCTCAAATCCGAAATTTCGTTCATGCGCTTACCTTATTTTATTGCCTTATTGAACTCTCCAAGATATCCCGACTTAACCTCATTTCTACTTCTTTCGAAAAGAAATCACATAATACCAACATCAAAGCACTCATTTCCACCAAAAATTACCCCATCATTAGAAACCACTGTGTAACCTGGGATGCATGTCAGTGGCCATTATTGCCCACTACCACCACCACCACCACTACTTTTATATTCATGCCCGGGCGCAAACATGCTACTGGGTAGAATAACCTGTGGAGTTAAGTGTTTAGAGCCGTGGGGTCATGTATCCGCAGCCACTGTCAGTTTAGTCTTCATGGATGTTACACTAAAGCAAGACGCTACCTCCACACTTACCCCGACTCGCCATCCTGACAAACCTAACCCTACCTTACCTAACCTAACCTAATTGGCTGGAGCCAGGTGAAGAGACGGGGTAAGTGTGGATGTAAGGGCATGCTAGGGTTTAACCTCAATAGAGACTATGTTGACTTGAGCAGTGGCTGCATACTCCGTACGATATGGCTTTGATCGGTTACGGAAATGGTGTGGTTTGTGCCAGGAGTAGTTTAAGAGTTAAATTTGTTGATAACGGCTGCTCTTCGGCATCTCAGCACATGTCATCAGGATTCCTCCGACATCAGACCTTGCATGCCATCAGGGAAGGACGTCTCAAACACCGTCAGGTGAGAGTCATCGTAGAGCTTGGCTGCGGTGACGAAGCGGGCACCGCTCGTCGTGACGTAGGAATTCACCATCGCGACGTAGCGGCCGAGGGTGTCGTCACCGGAAAATTGGCTGCAGCCAGGTGAAGAGACGGGTAAGTGTTTCACCTGGGGCAAGTGATATGGCTATAAGACGTTACGGAAATGGTGATTGCGTCAGGAGTAGTTTAAGAGTTAAATTTGTAGACAACGGCTGCTCTCCTCGGCATCTCAGCCCATGCCACCACGATTCCTCCCACAACAGACCTTGCATGCCATCGGGGAAGGACGTCTCAAACACCGTCAGGTGAGAGTCGTCGTAGAGCTTGGCTGCGGTGACGAAGCGGGCACCGCTCGTCGTGACGTAGGAATTCACCATCGCGACGTAGCGGCCGAGGGTGTCGTCACCGGAGACGCTCGTAGAGTTCCAGAGGGTGAGACACCTGAATAGGAGGAAGAAATACTAGTAGACGGGACATGGTAGAGTTTTAATTTTTACTGTTTTATTTTTAGCTGAAATGCATTCATACTCATAGCAACTCGAATATATTTTTTGGTGATAATCATTGACAATATACACTACTCATATCTCGTCAATATACACCCACGCACTAAGATACACTCAATATCTTGAGGAGGCAATATCTTGATCCATTAGATAGATATCTCTCAGAAGTTCTGTCATAACAATTCTATTATTTGATGATGTAAAATAATCAATGTTTCAGTAACTCTTGTTCGAATCAAGCCTTAATCTGTACTTTCGCATGCATTGAAACTTTAATCCTTTCACGCCATGTAGTACCGCCAGTCTTATCTTGTGCATTTACCCTTGACTTGCTTCAGTTGCTAAATTTATACTAGCTGACGAAAGGGAATGTATAAATTGTTCATACACCCTAAAGCTTCAAGCATTTGCACAAAATTTACTGAACATGCAATGATAAAGCTAAACAAATAACATTTTTCTAGACATTAACTGATATTGAAATCGTTTCAAAAAGGAAGGTAATTCGCCGGCAGCCCCCGGAACAAAGCTACATAACGAATTCATTTTTACCTTTTACCGTCATTGCAGTAACTGACTGAATGTACGACAAAGAATCTGAAACATTTGCTACCAATAATTGTTCTTTTCCACTATTCATTACTACCTATACCTATTGTTTTTTTTAAGCGATACGAAATTTTTAAAACTATTTATCTCACTTTATCGGTAAGAGAATAATGTTTCTCTTAAATTTGTGATATATCTATTTCATTAATAACGATGGAATAATATTTGAGGGAGACTCAACTAATATATTTCGAAAGCCTATTAATCTTGAACTTGTATGACATGGGAGGTAGCTCACCCGTTCTCCTCATTACACAAGTCTCCCCTTTCGTGGACGTATGGAGGAAGCTGGGTGAACATATCCGGTGCATCAGGTGGAGGAAGCAGTCCTAAAATTTTGAAAATGTATAAGTTTTTGTGGGTTTCACTCTGCATAAAATTTACTTATACTAGG